CCCCAAAACCCCAAAACCCCAAAACCCCAATTGGCAGAAATTAGACTATTGGAAGATAGCAAAAAAGGTAATAATAAGGAATGCATCATTAGTTTGTATTAAATATTATTTTAAAACTTATGGGAATGAGAAAATATATAATATGGAGTTGTTCACAAATCTTAATTCAAAATCCTAAACTATTAAAACTATAGTGCTATTGAAGAGTCGAATTTGAGTGCTTAATCTTTTTGTGCATTCTCAATTAATCCCCTATATTTCAGTAATTTCTAGATTCTCACGAGAATGATCATTGGTCTAATTTTAAAAATTCATTCCTCCATTATCTATAACTTCTATTTAGTTCGTTATTTTTAGGTTTTCAGGTTGCTTGAATCTAGCAGTGCCTAGTTGTTTAACAATAGTTATTTTCCTGGATTATAAATTAGGGGAATTTTTTAATCATAATTCTAGTTGAACAATCTAGATCCATTTTTAATCCACAAAGAGGATATTTTATAAACTTTTCTCTATAATATTTTAAGGCTAAGTTGATTAAGATTAATCGTATTCCAAGTAAATTTTTTACTCAATGCCTCTGTTGGATAAATTTGATTTTTAGCTTGTTGAATTTTAAGAATGACAATCTCTCCACTAGTATGGGCTAAAATCAAATTGGATGATCATCAAGTCCTCTTATCTAGTATACGCCTATACCTAATTTATTATTTATCTCTCAGAGATAATATTTCTAATTTACTCTTATATCGATTTAATTTTTTTATTATTGAGTGTACAGTTTGGACTTTAGTTCTTCATTTTTAAAGTCTTATCTTGGTCCTTTTATTTGAGATTTTTTATCTTTTGCTCTTTCTTTTTAAGATGTCTGATCTACTGCTAAAGCTTTTTAATTCGAATGGCTTGCCTTTTAAAACACTTATCTTTTTCAGTTGATGTTAAACATTCATAATCTATGGTCTAATCATCTTTGTTTTATAATACTGAATTTTAATGCTCTTTTTATGTGACGTTGTCATTGTAATCAGTAATATTTTCTTAATTTTTTTTAGCAGATTCAAATAAAAGCAAGTTTTCTATCATTTAACTTGAAAATTAGGACTTCATGTTATTCTATGTAAAGTTTAGGAGTTATAAGCCGCTTTTATCGAGCTAGATGATAGGCTGATGCAATCCATTTATTTAACTTTAATGCATTAAAAATCTAGGCTGCGTTATATGTATTTCTTAAAATGATTTTGAATTGCTCATTGTATTATGTTTAATCCAATTTTCAGGATGCGAAGAAAAGTCTTTTTATTATTTGCTATCCCCTTTGTCGGTTTGTATATTGGCTAGACCTTAGAAATCAAATAACATTTAATTTTTATGATAAATCTGCTTATCTAATAATTATAAATTAAACTTCAGTACTAAGACCTAATTACTTAATATTAGATTTTAATTCATTTCTCAATTCTAAAATGTATTTTGAAAGAATTTGATTTCTCAAATTTTTTAAAAAAGTCTAATTGAGGGGTTTTGGGGTTTTGGGGTTTTGGGGTTTT